AACCATCTTCTTCTCCACTCGGAGCCGGTTTTTTCTTCGTCAGTAAAAAAGACGGATCTCTACGACCCTGTATTGATTACCGAGGGTTAAACCAAATAACTATCAAGAACAAATACCCGTTGCCCCTGTTAGCCTCAGCCTTTGAACCGGTTCAGGGTGCCACTGTGTTCACCAAGTTAGACCTGAGAAACGCTTACCACCTTCTCAGAATCCATGAAGGAGACGAATGGAAAACTGCCTTCAAAACACCTCTGGGACATTTTGAATATCTGGTAATGCCTTTCGGGCTGTCTAACGCCCCTGCTTGTTTCCAGGCACTAGTGAACGATGTTTTGAGAGATTTTTTAAACGTTTTTGTGTTTGTCTACCTAGATGACATCCTGATCTACTCCAGAACCATCTCTGAACATCAAAAACATGTTCGCTTAGTGCTGCAAAGACTTTTGGAGAACAAATTGTTTGTCAAGGCTGAGAAATGCGAGTTTCATCGCCCATCTGTTACCTTTCTAGGATTTGTGCTCGAGGGCGGGCAGGTGAGGCCATCTGAGGATAAAATCAAGGCGGTTCTGGACTGGCCCACTCCTGAAAACCGGAAACAACTCCAAAGATTTCTGGGGTTTGCCAATTTTTATCGAAGGTTCATCAGAAATTACAGTCAAATGGCCCAACCTCTAACAGCTTTAACTTCAGCAAAAAGAGCTTTTCACTGGTCCTCTGAGGCCGAAGCAGCCTTCATAAAACTTAAGACTCTGTTTTCTAACACACCCATCCTCATTCAACCTGACCCCTCCAAACAGTTCATCTTGGAGGTGGATGCATCTGACTCAGGGGTGGGAGCCGTTCTGTCCCAAAGTTCTGAATCTGACCAGAGAACTCATCCTTGTGCATTTTTCTCCCGCAGGCTCACCCCTGCTGAACGAAATTATGACGTCGGTGACAGAGAACTCCTCGCCATAAAACTGGCCTTGGAAGAATGGCGGCAGCCCTGGCGGAGTCCAACTCTCACCGGAAAGGAGCCCGACTTACTGCCGGCAATGCGGACCAGACTCTGACACCGGTCATACAGGGACCTGACAGCCCGTATCAAAGGGCCCGGCACCCCGTACTCCCGGAGAACCCCCCACAGGGCCCCCCGAGGGACACGGTCGAACGCCTTCTCCAAGTCCACAAAGCACATGTAGACTGGTTGGGCGAGCTCCCATGCACCCTCCAGGACCCTGCTGAGGGTGTAGAGCTGGTCCAGTGTTCCATGACCAGGACGGAAACCACACTGCTCTTCCCAAATCCGAGGTTCGACTATCCGGGGAGGCTTAAGAGTGTGACTCCCCTGTAATTGGAGCACACCCTCCGGTCCCCCTTTTTGAATAGGGGGACCACCACCCCTGTCTGCCAATCCAGGGGGACTGCCCCCGATGTCCATGCAATGTTGAAGAGTCGCGTCACCCAACACAACCCTACAACATGCAGGACCTTGAGGAACTCCGGGCGGATCTCATCCACCCCCAGGGCCCTGCCACTGAGGAGCTTTTTAACCACCTCGGCGACCTCGCCCACAGAGATTGGAGAGCCCAGTCCAGAGTCCCCAGGCCCAGCTTCCTCAATGGAAGACATGTTGGTGGGATTGAGGAGGTCTTCGAAGTATTCCGCCCACCGACCCACAACGTCCCGAGTTGAGGTCAGCAGCACACCATCCCCGCTATAAACAGTGTTGGTGCTGCACCGCTTCCCCCTCCTGAGATGCCGGATGGCGGACCAGAATCGCTTCTGAGCCGTGCGGAAGTCTTTCTCCATGGCCTCTCCAAACTCCTCCCACACCTGAGTTTTTGCCCGCCGATATCAGTCACCTGATTCCGGAGTCCCACAGGCCAAAAAGGCCCGATAGGCCTCCTTCTTCAACCTGACAGCATTCCTCACCGGAGGTGTCCACCAACGGGTTCGAGGGTTACCGCCACGACAGGCACCAACAACCTTGCGGCCGCAGCTCAGATAAGCCACCTCGACAATGGAGGAATGGAACATGGTCCACTCGGACTCAATGTCCCCCACCTCCCCCGGGATGTGTTCGAAGTTCTGCCGGAGATGGGAGTTAAAGCTCCGTCTAACAGGGAACTCCGCCAGACGTTCCCAGCAGACCCTCACAACACGTTTGGGCCTGCCAGGTCTGACCGGCATCCTCCCCCACCACCAGAGCCAACTCACCACCAGGTAGTGGTCAGTGGAAAGATCAGCACCTCTCTTCACCCGAGTGTCTAAGACATACGGCCGCAAGTTCGATGAAACGATGACAAAGTAAATCATCGAACTGTGGCCTAGGGTGTCCTGGTGCCATGTGCACATATGGACACCCTTATGCTTGAACATGGTGTTCGTTATGGACAATCCATGATGAGCACAGAACTCCAACAACAGAACACCACTCGAGTTCAGATCAGGGCGGCCATTCCTCCCAACCCGCCCCTCCAGGTCTTACTGTCATTGCCTACGTGAGCGTTGAAGTCTCCCAGCAGAACAAGGGAGTCCCCAGAAGGGGCACCCTCCAGTACCCCCTCTAAGGACTCCAAGAAGGGTGGGTAATCTGAACTGTTGTTCGGCCCGTAAGCACAGACAACAGTAAGAACTATCGCTCTTCTCTGCCTTCTTGCTCGTTTGGACCGCCAGGTGGCGGTCGTTGAGGGGGGGGTACAGGCAGTGAAATAAAAAAATAAAAAAAACTCGGAGCAGCATCATACTGTAGCTGGCTGTCTGATAGACCGCCAGCTTGCCAGACTCAAGTCTTCTGCTGTACATATTTTCCACAATGGGAGTTCTGTAGCATGGCAGGCAATACTCGAGTTGAGGGGGGATGGCTTCCCCATTCTTAAAAAATCTTAAAAAATCATCCCAATTCTTTAATGACCATCCCCCCCCATACCATCCCCTTGGATATTTTATTACTGAAGTTTATAACTTCTACTATATAATAACACTAATGGCAGTAATCTGGTGTAATCTGTAAATCTGGTTGAACTGTAAAGTGCCTTGAGATGGCTTGTGTTGTGAATTGGCGCTATATAAATAAACTGAATTGAAGTGAATTGAAGTGATATTGCCCTTTCAACATTTGGCAGGCTGTGGGCTTACGAGTAGCCTGAGCAAAATAAATAAAATCAAAGAAGTGTCCTACCATGAATATGAAGCTGATCCCAGTGGGAAATGACTCCCTAACTATGTAGTGCTAGCCATGTCAGTCCAGAGACTGACTGCAGTTCTACTGTTAGGTCTATTGTCAAGGTCAATGAACAACCATGCCATGCATAATGCTTAAGATTAATAAACTATAATAATTAGGCTAAGTATGCTTCACAAAAAGTAAAAAAAAAAAAAAAAAACAATCACCTAAACTTTGTTTCAAAGTTTGAAAACATTTTGCTTCCCATCCAGGAAACTTTTTCAATTGAAATGTCAGAATTAACACTGAGTTTGCAGCTTTATATAGTAGCCCAAAAACTTGTTTTGGCTTAGAAAACATCCAAATTGAACTAAAAGAAAAAGTTTAGTGGATTTCTTTTTTCTTTTTTTTTTCTTTTCACTTTTTTGGAATGACTACAACCTGGATGACTGAGAATCTTCTCCAGCATACTGGTATGTATTCTTCCAAAAAAAAAAAAAAAAAAAGAAGGGGATAGTGGATTTTTTCCACTCTTCTACTTTTTTACAACTAGACTTCTGTTAGCAGGGGTACACTGCAAAAAATAGAAATCTAAATAAGTATTTTTTTTAATAAGTGCATTTTTCTTGAACCGAGGAGATAAGCGAGACACATTGCCAATTAATCAAGACATTTTACATTTAAAATAAGAAACAACTGCATTGTCTTATTTCAAGCGCACATGGTCTACTTATCTTATTTTAAGAGAAAAAATAATCTTATTTACCTGCTAAAATTTAGGGTAAATATTCTTAATTAGAGTGGGGGCCTAGTGGTTAGGCCATACAACCTGGAATTCTTGGGTTCTGACATTCACTCCCACAGACTCCCACGGACTTAAAATTGGGTGAGTAGAGGTGTGGGGATGGAGCTTTTGGTGTCAGCTTGGAGCTGGGTGCAATGGCTCCACCTGCTGGTAAAAAGTTTACCTCTGGATTTTTATGCATTCTGAAATATTACCCCCACTTAAGGTGTACCAGGTCGGCGGCGAGGTTTAAGAGGTTAAAGGAATTTTAGGAACAGATAGTGATAGGTAGGAAATTAGGGTAATTAATAAAGAATTATCTTTATTTTCACATAACACAAAATTTAAAAAAGAATATAGTAGGTAGGACCTTAAGGCTACACACTGTGTACAGTAGGTGGCGGTATGCACCTAGAAGCTGTTTGCAATCCGCCAATCAAATGAAAGAAGTAGTAGTAGAGGAAGGTTTTTTCAAATTTTTTTAATTCTATTTTTATTTATTTTTTTTTGGGGGGGGGGCTAATTAATGTTAGATATTAATGTTAGTATAACATAAATAAAGGGTATCATTAAACAGAAAACAAAAGAGAGGTGACAAAAGTTATGGGAAGAAGAAAATAAAAGAAGGTGGTTCTTTAAAATCCAAAAGACAATTAGACAAAAGAGAAGAACAGAAAGGAACAGGAGAAAAGAGATGATTAATTCACCACTTAGAATAGGACACACAGGATTAATTAGGTTAATATTTTAATAGGAAAACATCAGACAGGGAGATGAGACGGTGGAAGATGTTATTTTGAGTTGTAGGAAATATTGGATTCAGAAAAACAAGTTCATTAGGAAACTCAGCAATATGAAAATGAAAATAGACATTGTTGATTTAGTGCAAAAGGAACCAGGAAGCAGTTTTTGAAACAGATTAAATTGTATAACAGGATAAAGTTTTTTGTCATGTGGTCCACACTCCTTACCAGTTGGTGGCGGTAATGCTCACCTAACGGTTTTGCCAACCGCAATAAATATTTAACAAGAAGAAGACGAAAAAAGAAAAAAAAAAGCTTTTTTCTTTTTTTTTTGTGGTTTGCTATATTATCAGGGAAGAGAAGAGTCTTTTCTTATTTCTCAACATGTGCTGCTGGGATGTGCACTTCTGTTCTCTGGGTGTCTGTCCTCTGCTTGTCTCTGTGCAGGACTGCTGTTAAAGGTAAACTGCTGCTGCTGGTTTCATCTTTGATAATGAATGAGTTCTGACTTTAGATGGTTTTAGAGTTTCTGGTTTAAGGATTTAAGTTTAACTTCAACTTGAACTAAATAGAGTTACACGTTTCTACATTAAAGTGACTCCTTATGTTTCCTTTGTAATGACGTATTTCAAACAAAGCCCGTGTTTAACTACCTCCATCTGCTCTCATTTGAAAATCTACAATAATGTAGATTATTGTAAATTATTAACTAATGGAATCATTATTCCATACCAGCTGTATCTGATTTATGAAATATCCAGCATTTAACTCTGGTTGGTTGAATTTTTGAAACATTTTTTAGGTTTATTTAAACTTGTGGGTGGAGAAAAGCTTAAAGCAGCATACGTGTCCTTATGTGGAGAAGCAGAGCAAATAGATTCCTTCCTGATTGAATCCTCTTATCCTGGTATTTTTACATATGAAAATAATCCTATTCAAATACTTCAACTTAAATGTGCTTCAGGGAGCCATAAGAAAATCCCAACCTACTGATGAGTTAAGAAAAATAAAAGTAAAAGAAGATGACACAGTTCAAAGTTTTCCTGCTGCTAGATTTGAATCTATAATTAAGGTTCTTAGCTTTGGGATTTTTCATTACCTTAAAGAAATTCACAAAGACTAAAAACCTACAGAGAAAAAAAATCAGATGTCAGTTGTTATTTTAATGTCTGTTAAAAATGTTTTGTGTTAATTAGAATAGTTTTCACTGAGAAAGGTTTTTAAATGAGATTCGGTCCAAATATAAAGTCATTCAGGCAGAATTTTCTCAGAGAAACTATCAGGATAAACCTGAGAATAAACAATAAAGAATAAATCTCATTGTCTTCATCACAAAATCAACAGATTGTTTTAAACAGATGCAGGAAGCATTAAGTCACGGTATGAACTATAGTATTGTTGAGTATTTTGCACACAAAGGATGAATTATATCCTGTAGAATCAAAATACAACGTCTTTGTGAGGCTGAACAGGAAATAAGACTTAATTTAATTACAGAAAGAGTCTTCTTTGGAATAGATGACTCTGGAAATAACCTTCCAGGCCCATAATCTTACTGCTGATTTATCAGATATCTACTAAATTTTTTACTGAAGTTTATGTACATAAACCTGTTTAAAACAGAAATGACACAAGCAAGTACAGTTTCTAATAATAATAATTGTTCTTTATTGATCTCACGTTGGAGAAATTAACTCTCTGCATTTAAGCTCTATGCCCTGACCACTAGGCCACCACTCCCCCTACATTCTACAAAGTAAAAAATTAGCTTAAATTAAACAAGATAACTTTAAAACTGTTTCCACTTCTCCTAACTGTGTTTGTGCAGACAGCAGAACAGATGCTGAGAGTTTTGTTCTAAATAAAAATGTCTGACACATTTATATCAACAGGAAGCTTAAACAGCTGAACAGCATCAGATCTGTCACAGGCTGACAGGTGCAAATGATTAAACCAGCTGTTATAATGTGTGACGCAAATTCCAAAACCCACAAAGACAAAAAAAAAAAGATCCTGCACTAGATCGATGCAGGATTTTTAAGGTCGATGACGTTTATTTTTAGTCTGTCTAACAGATATATGTGATGCAAATATTTTGGACCTGATTCCTTAAAGGGGTCATAGAATGATTATATGGGGTATTTGGTCCTTAAGGTCTCTGAATAGGGGGTGTAACATTGGTTGGGCTAAAAATGGCATATTTGCTGTTCTGTGTGTAATGCAAGCCTGGTTAAAAGCCCTAGAATGAAACAACAGGTTTTCCTCCTTTTATGGTATGTTCATGAACATTTAGACAAGCTGTGCGCTGATTGGTTGCTTTACAACGAGCGAAGCTGCTGACCAAAGATGCATCATAGAAACAAGCACTCACTCACTGAAACATCAAATTGTTGATATGGTAGGTAGGGGTGTAAATCACATCCATCATGGCGATTCGATTCAGTATCGATTTCCTGACCCAACGATTCGATTATTTTCGATACTTAAGAATACACCACGATTCGATTCGATTAATCGGTTAATTTTTTTTTTATTATTATTTTTTTTACACCTTACAGGCTAAACAAAGTTTCAAGTTTGAAATAAATCAATGAAAGCTGTAATATCATTATGCATTTTCTTTAGAAACCACAGCAAATAACAGAAGTAGAAAAGTTGCATCAAAAAATACTGCAAAAATACTGCACAATATCAGTGTAATGAGTTCAATGCAATACCTCGGCTCCAGAGAAACTGTCCAACATATTTTTTAGAATGTAATAAATATACTCAGGAAAGAGAGATGTTGTGTAGAGAGTTAGACAGGAATAAAAATAAACTAGATATAAGGGAATTGTTTCAAAGGTCATCTGGGGATGTAGTTTTTGGTAGTATTTTTAATTTTCTAAGAAGAACGGGTATTTTAGGGAGAATATAATAGTTTGTCTGGTCCATACTCCATTCTGGAAGGTGGCGGTAATGCACCTATAAGTTGTTTGCCAACCGCCATTAAAAAAAAGAAGAAGAAGAAGGCTCCAGATTGTCGACGTCCCCGCCCCCTTGAGAGACGCTCCGCTGCTCCTCTCCCAGATTGTAGCTGACCGCAAACAGTGCACCAGACAGGAGGCCGGCTTGTTTTGTTTTTATAACCGAAATTGCGGAAAACAACTCGTGAAGTTTGACCCGCTAGAAGAGCGAGGTGTGCGAGAACGCTGGGACCCTTTTTCCAGCTGAATCTCCGCTCTTTTTGCCCTCATGTCCCTTCGTCGTCGGACTAAACTCGTCCCCACTTCCTCATCGCCTCGGCCGTATCTAGACCAACAGTGTGTAGCTCAGACCACGCTTCAATACTGAGCATAATTTAAAAATGTCTGTGTGAAGCTTGCTGCAACAAACTGCTGTAAGAGTATAACCAGGAAGCGCGGTAGGAGGGCAAAATAGGTTTAGCGGCACTGCAGCACGGGAGGGAGAATTACGCCCAGGAGCAAATGGATAAAAATAGACCGGAGGGAAAAAAAAAACATTCATCGATTACCTTGCGGACGTGTCGATGCATCGGATCGTCACCTTTTGGATCGATGCATCGATACAAAACGATTATTATTTACACCCCTAATGGTAGGGTGACCAGACGTCCTCTTTTTCCCGGGCATGTCCTACTATTTAAACCTTAAAAAAAATGTCTGGTGGGGAATTTCAAAATCGTGTAGCATGTAGTCGAAACGGAGCTAGCAGGGGACAGAGCGACTATCAGAGGGCACACAGGTCTTAATTTAAATGAAAAAGAAACATTAATAAATCAAACTAAGCATTCTAAATAGATACTAAATGTAGGGAGCAGCTTTGTGCTTCAGATGATCTGTTGGCATGGCTGCTGAATGTGTTCATGAATCAGTGAACGCATGAACGTATCAACTATGGCTGCAACTAATGATTGTTTTGCAAATCGCTTCATCTATCGATTATTTTTTCAATTAATCAGATAGAAAAAGTTTCCTTAAAGAAGACTCGTACTCGTCGTCTCCCGCTTTATCAGGAACCGGGTCGCGGGGGCAGCAGACTAAGCAGAGACTCCCAGACTTCCCTCTCCGCAGACACCTCCTCCAGCTCTGCTGGGGGAAGCCCTAGGCGCTCCCAGGACAGCCGAGAGACATAGTCTCTCCAGGGTGTCCTGGGTCGTCCCCTGGGCCTCCCCCCGGTGGGACATGCCTGGAACACCTCCCGAGGGAGGCGTCCAGGGGGCATCCGAAGAAGATGTCCGAGCCACCTCAACTGACTCCTCTCGATGTGGAGGAGAACCGGCTCTACACTGAGCCTCTCCCGAATGACCGAGCTCCTCACCCTATCTCTAAGGGAGAACCCAGCCACCCTGCGGAGGAAGCTCATTTCAGCCGCTTGTATCCGGGATCTCGTTCTTTCGGTCATGATCCAAATTTCATGACCATAGGTGAGGGTAGGAACGTAGACCGAACGGTAAATTGAGAGCTTTGCCTTTTCGCTCAGCTCTCTCTTCACCGGGACAGACCGGTGCAGCGTCCGCATTATTGCAGCAGCCGCACCGATCCGTCTATCGATCTCCCGCTCCATTCTTCCCTCACTCGTGAACAGGACCCCAAGATACTTGAACTCCTCCACTTGAGGCAGGGACTCTCCTCCAACCTGAAGGGGACAAGCCACCTTTTTCCGGTCGAGAACCATGGCCTCGGACTTGGAGGAGCTGATTCTCATCCCGGCCGTTTCCCACTCGGCTGCGAACCGCCCCAGCGCTCGCTGTAGGTCTTGGCAGGAGGGAGCCAGCAGAACTACATCATCCGCAAAAAGCAGGGACGAGATCCGCTGGTCCCCGAACCAGACCCCCTCCGGTCCTTGGCTGCGCCTAGAAATCCTGTCCATAAAAGTTATGAACAGGACGGGTGACAGAGGGCAGCCCTGTCGGAGTCCAACATGCACCGGGAACAGGTCCGACTTAATGCCGGCAATGCGAACCAGACTCCTGCTCCGATTGTACAGAGAACGGATGGCCCCTAATAAAGGGCCCCCGACTCCATACTCCTGGAGCACCCCCCACAGGGCAGCACGAGGGACACGGTCGAATGCCTTCTCCAAGTCCACAAAACACATGTGGACTGGTTGGGCAAACTCCCAAGAACCCTCAAGCACCCTGCAAAGGGTGTAGAGCTGGTCCACTGTTCCACGGCCAGGACGAAAACCTTAAAGAAGAAATCCTTAAAGAAGACTTTCTGCTAAATTAAACCAGGTTAAGCTAAAACTTTTCCACATGAGGAGTTTTGGATGGAGAATATTGATGGATGAAAAATAATTTTATCTTAAATATATTCTTTTTTTTTTTACAATTTTGATATACCGTAAATTCTCTAATATTGGCCTGTATTCCAATAGCGGCCGGGTCTCTAATAATGGCCGGTCTCGCTGTCAGAGGAGGTAAATAATGGCCGGTCTCTAATACAGGCCGGGGCTATAA